TACTTACTTCATGAATAGCTATTATCTCAGCATGATTTGAATAAGTAGCAACAATAGATTACTTTGTGGAGCACCATGATATGATAGTACCTCTACATGCAAACACGTACCCGGTTTGAGATCGAGTTTTATGAGAATCAGATAAATAACCTTCATCATAACCAACAAGATCTGTACTACCTTTGTGAGCATAAAACAAACCAATATCAAGAGTTCGCTTTAAATATCGAAAAATATGCTTAATCACATTCCAATGTCTCCATGTAGGAGAAAAGCTACATCTTGCTAGTAAATTAACAGAAAATACTATGTCAGGCCTTGTAGTATTAGCAAGATACATAAGTGCACCAATTATACTGAGATGGGGTGTTTCAGGACCAAGGAGTTCCTCATCCTCTTCTAGAGGTCGAAGTGGGTCCTTATTCACTTCAAGTGATCGAACATTCATTGGTGTACTCAATGGGTGCGCTTTGTCCATGTAAAAGCGTTTTAAGACCCTTTCTGTATAGGCAGATTGATGGATAAAGATCCCGTCTGTTAAATGTTCAATTTGCAGACCAAGACAAAGTTTTATCTTTTCAAGATCTTTCATGTCAAATTCTTTCTTAAGATATTCGATTGCCTTTTGGAGCTCTTCTGGAGTTCCAACAAGATTTATGTCATCAACATAAACAGCAAATATAACAAATTCTGATGCCATTTTCTTAATAAAAATACATGAACAAATAACGTCATTTATGTAACCCTCTTTCAGCAAATAATCACTAAGGCGATTATACCACATGCGCCCAGATTGCTTTAAACCGTACAGAGATCTTTATAATATGATTAAATACATTTTTCGAGATATTGAATTTGCTTCATGCATTTTAAATCCTTCAGGGATTATCATATAAATTTTATTATCAAGTGAACCGTACAGATATGTTGTAACTACATCCATTAGATGTATTTCAAGCTTTTCATGCAGTGCTAAACTGTTGAGATATCGAAATGTTATGGCATCCATAACATGTGAATATGTTTCATCAAATCGACTCCATGTCATTGTGAGAATCCTTGTGCGACAAGGCGAGCTTTGTATCTTTCAATTTCATTTTTATCATTCCTTTTTCGCACAAAAACCCATTGATGACCAACTAATTTTATACCAACAAGTGTTTGGACTACTGATCCAAAGATCTCTCTTTTAGCAAGTGCATTCAAGTTTGATTGAATTGTCACTTGCCATTTTGGCCCATCAGATCCTTGTCGACATTCTTCGACAGATCGGGGTTCAAAGTTCTCACTATTTTGCATAATGTTAAGTACAACATTATATGCAAAAATATTATCCATTACTATTTCAAGTATTTAAATTAATTTCATCACCAGTATAACTTATTAAAAGTCTCTCGCTCACTTGAGTCTTGGGTTCATTGATTTATTCAGGAATCTCAAAACTAATCAGATTTTGGGTCTCTTCAGGAGAACCCTTCATAGTATCGTTTTGATCATTTGTCGATTTTATTTTTCAAGAATTTCTATCCTTATAACCCGAAGGCCTATCACGCTTCAAGCGTGTTTTAGGTTCACTGGCTCTCATGCTAGTAGATGGTCCTGGTGGGACATCAATTCAGATATGCACATTCTCTGTAGGAATATATGTTTTAGTTATCCTTTTCAAATCAGTAAATGCATCTGGAATTTGATTTGCTACATTCTGTAAATGGATGATCTTCTGGATCTCCTAATTACATATAGGGGTACGTGGATCAAAATAAGATAATGATGAAACTTTTCACCTAATTTCTCTTTTCATTTCCTTTTTCTCTCCCCCAAATTATGCGAAGTTAGTTTCATCAAACCGACAATTTGTAAATCGAGCAGTAAATAAATCTCCTATCAATAGTTCAAGATAGCGAATAATAGAGGATGATTCAAACTCAACATATATTCCTAACCTTATCTGGTGGCCCATCTTACTGCGCTGTGGTGGTGCTACTGGCACACATACAGCACATCCAAAATTTTGTAGATGGGTAATATTTGGTTCATGACCAAAAACTAATTGTGACAGAGAATATATATTATAATGTGTCGGTTTGAGACGGATAAGTGATGCTGCATGCAAGATAAAATAGTCCCAAACAGTAATGGACAATTTTATTTTCATAAGTAGTGATCATGCTATCAATTGCAAGTGTTTAATAAATGACTATGCAATGTCATTTTGAGTATGAACATAACCTACATGATGTTCAACTTGTATCCTAACTGATAGACAATTATCACCAAAAGTATGAGATGAGAATTCTCCAACATTATCAAGGCGAATAACCTTTATAGGATAATTTGGGAATTGTGCCCTTAATCGAATTATTTGGGCTAATAGCTTTTCAAAAGCCAGGTTGCTAGATGATAGTAGACACACATGAGATCATCTTGAAGATGCATCTATTAGGACCATAAAATATCTAAACAAACTACTTTGTGGGTGAATAGGTCCACATATATCCCCATGTATACGCTCTAAAAAAATCAGGGGATTCAATTCCAAACTTCATTGGTGATGGTCTAGTGATCATTTTGCCTTGATAACAAGCATCACAAGAAAATTCACCATTTGTAAGAATCTTTAGGTTCTTTAATGGATGCCCACTCGAATTTTCAGTAATTCGTCTTATCATTATTGATCCAGGATGGCCCAAACGGCCATGCCAAAGTACAAAAGTATTTGAATCAGTAAACATCTGGTATATGATAGAGTGTGTTTCAATTGCACTAATTTTTTAATAGTATAAGGCAGAAGATAAAGTTGGTAACTTTTCTACAACGCACTTCTGGCCACAAACATTCTTTGTAATACAAAGATATTCCAGATTCATTTCATCTATCGTTTCAACATGATACATATTTCAGCGGATATCTATAAAACTCAACAAGTTTATTCAGGATTTGGAGGAGAACAATGCATTATCTATAATAAGTTTTCTTAGACAGAAATATAGTGGCTCTTCCGGAGCCTTCTATCGAACTTATATTACCAAAAATTGTAGAAACATTTGCTTTTTTCCTATGAAAATAAGAAAAGTATTTCTCATATTTAAATATGGCATGAGTTGTTCCACTATCAATTACACAAATATCTTCATGATTGGTCTTTGATCTAAATATAATTTGAGGATTATCCATATTCTTCAAAATGACATAAACAAAATATATTATAGTAAATATCATTATCAAAACATAACTTTTATTTATGTACAATAATTACTTAACCATACTATCTACTGCAAACAACAAAAATTAAAATATTTATATTTCTACAAATTTATCACCAATCACATGACTTGTTTCTCCTTTTGGGAGTGCAAAGTAATCAGTTATATCCAAATGCATGAAATCTAAATTATCTTTAGAAATAAAATCTGCTTCAATATTTTTCTCTGTCTTTTTCAGGGAGGTTGGTTAAAGCTCAACTAGGTGCTTTGGCATACGACAGGTACCTGACCAGTGCCCTTTTTATCCACATCTATAGCATGCATTTTCTGCATTTGTTGCTTGCACCGCTTCATGCTTTTGTTCCTTCCTTTTACACTGCTGGTGATGAGGAGGGTTCTTTGGTGCATTATTATTACCATGATTATAGTTTCTTCCCCGACCACGTCCATGACCATGACTGGGGCCACGACCTCTTTCACGCTTAGCTTGGTGAAGGTTCGTCTCATTCACTTCAGGGAATGAATAAGAACCAGTAGGTCGACTTTCATGGGTTTTCATTAATAGCACATTATGTTGCTTGGCTACAAGAAGATGTGAGATAAGTTCAGAATACTTTTTGAATCTTATCTCTCGACATTGCTGCTGCAGGAGCATATTCGAGGCATGAAAAGTGGTGAAAGTTTTTTCCAACATATCATGATCAGTAATATTAGCACCACATAATTTTAATTGGGAAATAATCCAAAACATAGCATAATTATACTCACTCATAGATTTAAATTCGGTAGCCTTAAATGAGTCCAATCATACCATGTCTGTGGAAGAACGATCATCTTCAGATGGACATATCTGTCTTTTCAATTATTCCACATTATGATTGGATCTTTAAGAGTAATATATTTCATTTTCAAGCCCTCATCAAGGTGATGGAATAGGAATATCATTGCTTTGGAACTGTCTTGATTTGATGCCTGATTTTTGTCCTTGATGGTGTCTGCCAGACTCATCGCATCAATATGAATTTCAGCATCAAACACCCAGGACATGTAGCTTTTGCCAGATATATCCAGGGCTACAAATTTAAATTTAGAAATATTTGAGATTATTTAGAAAAAGAAACTTCGTACCTCTGATACTTTCAAAGTATTTGCTCGAGATGACAGAGTCTCATATTGATAACGTATTATAAAATAAAAGCTGTAAAGTAAATAAACTGAAGACAAGTATAGGGATAGATTGATATATTAGTCAACTTCAAACTGATATACATAATGAACTGAAAACTCCTCTATTTATAAAAGAAAGGAAGCAGCTGCGATACTTTTCAGGAAGCAACTGCAAGGCTTTTTAGGAAGCAGCTGAGAGGATTTTCTTGAGCTGCTTGTAAATTATCTGCATGAGTTGCTTGCAACCTGCCTGTTTAATAAGAAGCTGCTGCAAATCATTTCATTGAGTTGCTTGCAACCTACCTGCATCAGTTGCCTTGTAGATAAATTTTAATAGAGTACCAAACGGATAATCTTCTTCAGGAAGATTATCTATTGCGGAGTAATAAATGGACATCCACAATATAATTATTTTCATAACAAAAAATATATATGTTTAACGGTCAAGAATTAATAATGTGTCATTCTCTAAAGATAAGCTTGGGCGATGACCACCCTTTGTCGAAAAATTATATTGGGTATATAAATTAAATATTTGATTTAAGAGGTGTATAATATTTACTTCTTTTAAGTTTGAACACGTGAAAATTTATGGCTTTGCCACCGAAGATAAGCATTTATAAAAACCACATACCAACCCCAAGTAGCTCAGCAAAAGATAGGAGCTAAGGTGCCTCTATTTGTCAAAAAATAGATCTGTCCGTGAAAATGGCAAAATCCATGCGCTTCTTTGCCACAGTGTTACTTCTAGCAATACTTTTCATGGCTACTGGTTCGTCTTCTTCTTCCTTATCAAACTTTTTTTTTTTTAAACATTATTCTATGGTTAAAATAATTAGCATGATTTTGCGATTGAGAGTAAGCTTATTTCCTGCCTTCCACAGTTGAGCTTAAGGGTTCAAATCACACCAGTTGCCTAGGATAAGCCCATTATACCAACAAAACATTTTCTACCAAAAATATCTTTATTCACATTGCTCCGAGACTTCTAATAAAGAATGAAAGGTTACTTCACAATAATGTCGTACCATAATGTACTTATTATGTAGGGGCACATTTTTCAATTTATGTCTCTTTGATCAAGCACCAAGTTTAAAAAAGTTCAAAAACTTTTTGATTCCTAAGATTTTAATATAAAGTGTGTATAACATACCAAAAGTATCCTTTGAAATTAACGGTAAAATTGGGATCTACGTTTTATCAAACGTGCATGTATGGACTTAATTACTAATGTTAAAGTGTATATACGTACAGAGATGGGACCAATGACAATTGCAGAGGCAAGACATTGCGAGTCTCAGAGCCAGCGTTTTAGGGGACTATGTGTTAGGGAGAAGAACTGTGCCGCCGTCTGTGAAACGGAAGGATTTTCCGGTGGCGACTGCCGTGGACTCCGCCGCCGTTGTTTCTGTACTAGGCCATGCTAAGAATATTACTATATGTTATATATATTTTATATATATATAAACTTTAATTTGAGAAAGCTCTTGAATAAGCACTATGATTGTTCAAAGATTAACGTGATAGTTTTGTTACTAATTAAACTAGTCGTGATCTTTGATCGTATGCAATTATGGTGGTAGGTGTATTTCGGTTTGTGATTTCTGTGATTTATTTTTGGTTTTCTGCTACGTTATCGATAAAATATCTTCTTTCCTATTATTTCTTGTGTGTAGTGGTGTTGACTGTTGTGTATGGGGGCAGACGTAAATTCTGATTTTTGGTCTAATTAAAAGAAGAAAAGATTCTAAAGTTATGGAATGTTAGAAAAATAATGGGATAGAAATAATCTAGCTTCGATAGTTTAATCACTATTCTTAAGAAATTTAAGTTCCCACTTTGTTGGTGCATGGGTAATAGCAGAATTCTTCTAAAATTTTACAAAGCTTCTGAAATTCCAGTTTTAACTATTAACTCAAATTTTCCACAAAAATAGAATATATGAGAGTTGTAGAAAATAAGTAGAAAAAAAGAGATGAAGTTTTCAAATGTATTTCGTTTTGGAAATGATATGGATATTCATAACATGCACATTTTAGAACCAATAGTCACTCTTTTTGAATTTAAAAATAAAACAGTTAAAAAGCATTTTCTGAAATTTAATTAAAAAATGCTTTTAATTAATTATTAATAAAATAATAGGTGACTAAACTACTAATTCCTCGCTACTTATTTGGGGGCTTTTGCATCTATACCCGGTTTTGGGATCACAATTGAACTTATACTCATTTTGCAAAAATATTTGTAAGCGTACTCACTTTACGATCAAGTTCAGACTTATCAGGTCTGAAGTTAAAAAAAATTAGTCTGAAGTAAAAAAATTGTACTTCAAATGCACTTAAGGCTAAATATGTATGAAGTGTAACTAATGGTTTCATGCACTTACGACTAATAAGTCTGAAGTGAAAAATTGCACTTTAGATGCACTTAAGGCTAAAAGGTCTGAAATGCAACAAACGTTTTGCTACACTTAAGGCAAGTCTGAGGTGAAAAATTGCACTTCAGATGCACTTAATGCCAAAAGGTCTGAAGTGCAACAAACGTTTTGCTACACTTAAGGCAAGTCTGAGGTGAAAAATTGCACTTCAGATGCACTTAATGCCAAAAGGTCTGAAGTGCAACAAACGTTTTGCTACAGTTAAGGCCAATAAGTCTAAAGTGAAAAAGTACACTTCAGATGTACTTAAGGCAAAAAATTTTGAAGTGCAACAAATGTTTTGCTACACTTAAGGACAATAAGTGTGAAATGAAAAATTGCACTTCAATACACTTAAGGCCAAAAGGTCTCAAGTGCAACAAACGTTTTGCTACACTTAAGGCCAATAAGTGTGAAGTGAAAAATTGCACTTCAGATCCACTTAAGGCCAAAAGGTCTGAAATGCAACCAACGTTTTTATGCACTTAAAGCCAAATAGGCATGAAGTGCAAATTGCCCAGAAACAGAAATTTGTTCTTCGAATTATAATAATCCAATATACGATTTAATACCTAAATCTACTCTAAATGAGCTCAAATTTGAAACATAGCCTCCAAATATTATCAGGAACAAACCTCAATCATCAATTTGTCAAAACAACAATAAATCTAATGAACCTATTTTGCAATTAAGAAAAAGAAGAAGAAGAAATCCTAAGCAATAACAAAAAATAAAGCGTCATAACAGCTCACCATTGTAAAACATCATAAACTACATTAAAATATGTTCACAACCATCATATAAAATCATTGTCACCCGAAGAAGAAGGAGGAGGAGAAGAAAAAAACGAAGGAGGAGAAAGATGAGGAGAAAGAGGCCTAAAGTTGTTTTAAAAGTGGATACAAATTAAAACGTTTTTAAAAAGTGGGTATAAGTTAAATGGGGCGGCCAAATAGGGCGCCCCATATAATTTTTACCTTAATTGGTTCAAAGCCCAATTGCCCAATCTTGACTATTAATATTTAAGTCAAATTTCAATTTCCCTCCAAAAATATCCTTTAAAATATTCAAGCTATATAAGACGTTGAAGTACTTTTAAACACTTCTTTCTTTCTTTCTTTTTTCAATGTGGGATAAAAGAACATCTTCTGAAATACTCCCATCAAACACTAATTAATCTAATACGAGAAGTCAAAAGTAATTATTTTATTAAGAATAATAGCATAAACTATTTACCATAAGATTTAAAAAGTAAAGTTTTTTAGAAGCTCTTTTTGAAATTTTATTGAAGCATAAATTATTGCTCTAATATTAGTAAAAGTATTTTTAAAATTGATTTGTCAAATAAAAATTGCTACTTTTTAAAATTTCAAAATAAACGGTTTTGGAATTTTGGTCAAACACGTTACTATTCCCTAAACTTTTAGTTTGTGTGAATATATTTTCTTTATAACTACTTTCTAAATGTGAAAATAATTTAGCATAAAATTTTAATTTTAGTCTTAATGAAAAACTTTAATAGTCATACAATTATTTCAAAAGTTTCAAAAGAATTACAGTCACAAAAATGTCATGATTTATTTAGAACCACAAATTTTAAAATTTTTTAATTTTTTTCTAATCTTCGTATCCAATCAAATAGGTTCACATAAATTAAACGTAAAAAATAATAGTTTATTCTTACCCTTCGTTTAAAGTTGGGGTGAAGCATGCTCCTGAAGTTTACAAAACTCGCAAATATTTATTTTTATTCGAACTCAGCTAACAAAATCATTACAAAATAAAAATAAAAATTAAAAAATAACGAGAAGGAAAGTAAAGGAAGGCTATATTTATTTGCCAGAAAGTAATAGAGTTATTAATTCTTGGCTCATTGTTTTACTTGTTAGGTTTAACTTATTCTCATTGTTCTCCTATCTGGCGTTTTATTGATTTAATCTGAAAAATAACATTTTCTATTGACATAATATTCATATATGATGACCATATTAATTAGTTACAAAATAGCTAGACTTTGAAAATTTTAAAAAAATAAGAATAAGAATAACTAGAATGGTTTCTCTTCCGGATATAATACTATGAATACCAATTACTTGCTCTATAGAAACATATTAGTCTATTGGAGTATTTTTTTTACCCTTTAATTAAGAAGAGAATAAAGGGAAAATGTAGCAAGAAAAGTAAATATGGTTGCACGCCAATTTTTGTAATATATTTTAAAATATTTTGTAATACATTTTAAAATTTAATTACAGTATGGAAAAAATATTTTGATACGAGTAATTATTACTCTACTCACCCCAATTTTTGTGATATTTTTCGAGCGAGCTTTCTCTCTAAACTATCAGTTCTTCGAGCGAACTTTCTCTCTCCTCCCGATTTTTTCTCTGTAACATCTTTCTCTCTCACGAACTCCCTGCCCGCCGGTGACTGTACCACCAGAACACCCAGGTAAGTCCTCTCCTCTCCCGATCATTCTCTCTCTCTCTCTCGCTCCTTTGGTTCTCCTAGTCTCCCCCCACTACTCTCTCTCTCCCCGATTTCTCTCCCCCATCTCTTTCCACTATGTTTCTTGTGGTCTGTCCCCCTTTCTTTCTCCCCAATTCTCCCTCCCCTTTTCTCTGTCGCTTCTTTTCCCTCTTTTTCTTGCGAGCATTTGTACCGCCGGAGTTTCTATCGGAGACCCACCGAAAATTGGCCCGGATTTGAGGTTGCGGTATCGCATACCTCTTTTCTTCCTCCCCTTTTCCCCCTTTGGTTCCCCCTTATATTTTTGCAGGTATTCACTATTAGATCAGAGCGTGCGGCGGACGTCAAAATCGGTTGGAGGCAACGGGAAATCAACTAAGGTTACTACGGCAGCGCGACCTTGTCATTTATGACGATTCACCCAGGTTTCGCATTAATCGGGAGTTGGTACCTCCTGTACTTCGATCAATATCTATGTCTCCCTTGTTGGTATCCAATTAGTTTGCTATAGTTTAAGTCTAATTTTATATTGCCTACAATTAATTAGTGCATTTTGTAACTCTTTAGGGATTTCTAGTCTGTAATTTGGATTCTTAGTACTTGTTCGGTTGGCCTTTTTTATTTATCTATTGTTATCACTAGTTTAATTCTTGCTTGTCTATTTGTCTTATCTGTATGCATTTCTAGTGGTTAGAGCTATAAGTATTAGACCTACCTCCTTTAATTTAATCCTTTGTCTGTTGTAGTGACAGTTCTAGCGTAATTTTTCTTAGATTATAGTGGTTGCGGTGAGTGATGGTGGAATAAGGTCATGTCCTCGAGTGGGGTAGGGGTAAGGGGTAAAGGTGGCAAGGGAGTCTCTAAGATGAGAGTGGGGTCCTGGAACATAGGTACTTTGATGGAAAAATCTATAGAGCTAGCGAAGATCCTCCTGAAGAGGAAGATCAATATAGCTTGTATTCAGGAGACTAGATAGGTGGGTTCGAAGGCTCGAGATGCTAATGGGTTTAAATTGTGGTACTTAGGACGCGAGAGGGGTAAGAATGGGATAGATATCTTGGTTGATAGGGATCTTAGGGAGCTAGTGATAGAAGTTAGGAGGGTGACTGACATGTTGATGGCTATTAAGTTGGTTGTGGGAGGGTCTACTTTAAACGTGATTAGTGCTTACACGCCTTAAATGGGTTTAGATGAGGAGATTAAGAGGCGTTCCTGGGAAGTACTTGAAGGGTTGGTCCATGCCATTTCGCACACCGAGAAGTTATTCATAGGAGGTGACTTCAATGGTCACATTGGGGCGACCTCTGGGGGTTTTGACGGTGTGCATGGCGGCTTTGGCTTTGGAGTTAGGAACGGAGGAGGTAGTTCGTTGTTGGACAATGCTAAAGCCTATGATTGGTGATTGCTAACTCGTATTTTTCAAAGAGGGAAGGGCACTTTGTCACATTTTAGAGTTTGTTGGCCAAGACTCAAATTGATTATCTACTACTTTGGAAGTGCGATAGGAGTCTGTGTATGTATTGCAAGGTTATACCAACGAGAATCCCATGACTCGGCATAGGTTATTGGTGATGGACTTAGAGATCGTGAGGAAGGGAAAAAGAGGGTTGTGTATGGTCAACCCAAGATTAGGTGGGATGTTTTGACTAATGACAAAGCGCAGGAGTTGGTGGAAAGGTTGTTGGCTATGGGAGCCTGGAGGAGCAGTGGGGACGCGAGTTGTATGTGGACCAAAATAGCGGAGTGTATTAGAGTTGCTACGAGAGAAGTGTAAGGG